AGCAATGTTAATGCGAACAGCTGATCCGTTAAACTCGTGGGAAGCTGATTGCACTCATAGCCTACTGCAACACCATATTTGTCAGCTAGGAGATCGTATCTTCCGAGTATGACAAGCTGTGAACAAAGCATGAGACCGGCCCGTAACTCGTTCATGAGATGTACTCGTACAAGATGAATACTAGGGATTTAAAGATGTTGTTTGTGTCTTTGTAAACCGTCTGGTAGATATCTATCATTTGCCTCCCTCCAGCCTTTTTGCGGAAAATTCCGATGGCTTCGTAGATATCGTCTGTAAAAGGCTCTGGATGAAAAGGATTCTGCCAGTATTGGTTTAGACAGGAGTTGCAAGCGGAGCGGAATTACAGCATTTTGTGTTGCGGACTTTGGAGATGCGTGGCCAACTCTACTCACAGAGCAATACTACTCGTCTGATATGCTTCCGAAAGTATAAATATCTTGGCAAAAGGCAGTCCTGAAATTTTTAAGAATTGTAACAAGGAAAAGAAACTAGAAGATTGCGACTGCAAAAGGTCATCCAACGTTATGGCAATCATCCGTGTCGGTCTCATCGGGCTGACGCCTGCCCAGGAATTCGCCTCAACCAGAAGCTGGACTGCCTTAGGACATCTACCTTCGCTATTGCAATCAACAAATTATGAGATTGTGGCACTGGCAAACTCGAGTGTTGAGTCAGCGAAACGCTCCATCGAAGCTCACAATCTGCCATCTACAACTAAGGCATACGGAAGTCCTGAGGACATTGCCAATGATCCAGAAATAGACTTGATCGTTGTTTCCGTTCGGGTCCAGAAACACTATGAGCTTATCAAACCGGCTCTTCTCAAGAACAAGAAGGTCTTCGTCGAATGGCCGCTAGGTGCTAATTTAAACGAAGCGGAGGAGCTAACACAGCTTGCAAACTCTCACGGCGTCCAGAATGCTGTTGGATTACAGGCGCGCTCATCTCCCATGGTACGGAAGTTGAAGGAGCTGGTAACAAGTGATTGCATAGGTCGTGTGCTAAGCTCGACTGTTATTGCTTCATCCAGTAATTTTCCGATGGAGATCTGGCCACAGGATGCGAAGTATTATCTCGATATGTCAAGCGGAGGGAACGAGTTCTACATCTTTTTCGGGCACTGTGAGTATTGCCTCGCCGTAACAAAAGCTCAACGCATTAATACATGCTAGTTCTGGACTCCTTCACGCACATCCTGGGTGATCTTTCTCATGTGCAGTCTATTTTGAAATCACAATATAAGACTGTGCGCATAGTGGGGACCCAAAACGAGACGATTGATCCAGAATATGAGAAAACTGCCCCTGATCATATTTTTGTTCAAGGCCTTCTTGATAGCGGAGCTGTTGCATCACTGTCTTTCCGCAAGCCGGGGTCAACCGCTGAAGAGACGGGCATTAGGTGGTACATTTCCGGCACAAAGGGCGAAATTCTGATCACTGGTCCATCATGGTGGCAAATGTTAAACAAAGAGCCAGTGCTGCAAATGAAAGTTGGAAATGAGCCTGTACATGTGATCAAGTTCCAGGATGAAACTGAACCAGCGGTCCAAACAGCCCCAGCAATGGCCACCAATCTGGCCCTTCTGTATGAGGCGTTTGCTGAGGGAGATGTTTCTAGATACGCCACTTTCGAATCGGCTGCAAGAACTCATCGGCTTTTGGAGAAAATCAGACAGGCAGCTGTGTCGGATATATAATTCTGGTGAGAAGCAATATTCTCAAGAAGAAAGAAGTAATTGATACAGATTGATGTTTTAGAACTAGCTGAGCTTATGACAATTTTGATGGCGCATCAATTATTATGGCTTTTTAAGTATAAATGAATCCATTGGAATCTCAAGTCATGCTAGGTTATTGAATTACAATTAATCTTACAGTTATTACTATTATATTTACTTTTTATAGTATAAATTATTCACTGTTCAATTGTGAACCTTTATTCCCAATTATTACCTCAGAATACTTAGTAATAATAAAATATCCCGGAGCACACAACTACAAATAGACGTCGGTCTTAAACAAAAAACAATTTGTCTGATTTACCACTTTCTCCGGCGTTAGCGTGAGATGATTGGCGCCACAGAGGACTTGGGAAATATTCGTCAGCTCGGCTGCCCCGCTACGGCTGGGTGAGAAGCTCTGGTCATTACAAACGAAGATAAAATAATATATAGACAAACCCTTTATCTTGAAGCCGAGCTGGATTTACGGGCTATTCGACAATAATAACATGAGAAGCAATAAACCAATCACAGATGTCCAGGCTGAAACTGCGCCGCGGCGCCGGCCCGGGCGTCCACGGATGATCGAGACGGGCCAGGAGGCAGCGAACGATCAAGCGGTAAGTCAACTGCATTATGCCTTACACCCGGACAAAACATCGAAACAACCTCATCTAACTTATTCAACAAGAGAAGAACACGAATGAGACTGGCACAGCGGTCGTATCGTAGCCGGAAACAAAGCGCTCTTGTATCTGCAAAAGCTCGTGCTGAATCGCTTGAGGTGGCTTTGGATGGCTCTATTGACGAGTTTATAAAATTTTATGAACATGTCTCACAAAGGGGAAAGGAGCTACCTCCTGGTGTCATGACTCAGCTCAACCAGACAGCGATGAATATCGTATCTATAGCAAGGAAAGCTCGCATGGAAAAGTCTATGTTGACCGGCGACCAGAACCAATCTCCTGAAGAAGATCCAGCTGCCTCAGCGGATGAGATGGATGCTGATCATGAACCTACCGGCTATCTGACTGGCGATCTCACAGTTGATGAGAATCAAACGACAAAAGCCCATAGTTATCATCCTCATCAGAGGCAGTATGGAGCATTTGCTAGTAGCAAGCCAGCTCCAGTCTCGCAGCGGTTGCTATTGGCCTGTCTGACAAGAGCCATAGCACTTCTGCAGCTGGGAAACTTCTCAGTCGTTGCCATTAATCCGGCGATGATTCTACCACTACAACTGGAGCGAGCGGAAAAACTTCTAGAAAGAACTGCTCGTCGCCTTTCTGGAAACCCGAGTGCGTTCTTTGTGGACTGCCAATATGGCGATGGCCGAAATGCGGCTTTACCCAAGATGATGCGTCTTATCGAAGGAGAACTAAACACTTTGACTCCAAGGTCATCGCCGCCAAACTTGCAAAATTTACACTTTGGACGGACAAGAACAATGCTTAACACGGCCATTTCCGACCTCCAAGGAGAGTGGTTAGAGGCTCCAGATGTGGAAGAATATCTTGAACAGCGAGGAATATTTGTTCGAATGGGCTCGCCCAGTGATATCATAAGTCTATCAGCTCCGATGATCGAAGACCAGCCATCACCAGAAGCAGCCACATTGGGTACGCTCAGACCTCATGCTCCGTTGGTGGATATATCAGATTTTCGAAAAGAGTCAAGGACGAAACGTGCCGCTATTCCAGAACATGACTTTACAATATTTGGCAAAGCTTTCCGAGAAGGCCAGACCGTGCCGACTGGACGAAATAATTTCGCATTGTCGGAGTGGTATCCCGAGATGCGCGCTCAAACGGACAGTGCAGCAACAAATCAACAAGCACAAGAGAGCCTGCAAATAACAATTAACATCGATAAGCTAATCCAGGGACTTGCAGATAAGGCGGTTTGCCTTGGACCATGTCCTGGAATCAAGAGGGTACATGTTGATGAAGCAATCAGAGGATCAGTAAGTGATTTTCAGCAGTGATTGGCATTGCAGCGCTCTCGATATATTTTTACATATATGAGATTCAAAGTCTTTGTAGAAGTCTTACACACGGTACAATATGTAAGTAACAGATGATCCAATACCAAGACCGGATTTCTCTACTGTTGTAGACATTTTTTTTGTACCTTAGTGGTGGTGTTTCCTAGGACTCTAAGTGTGCTAGTACCACGTTACTGCTAGTTACCCAAGCCAATCTTAGCGAACCTATATCCTATTGCATCTTTTTACATAGCTAGGCCTTACATACTCGGTATGATTAATTTTTTCATTGGATTCGAAAAAGAATATTAAAAAATTCGCCAACTTAATCGTGATGTACATTCAGGCCTCTGTTTAGCTTTGACGTGGATCTTTGGCATTCAAGTCTCAATAGGCTTATTATATAACTGCTATCTGCGAGTATACATATGACCCCAATGCTTTATATCCAGCCATGATCTCTCTTTTTCTCAAGACTAGCAATCTAATGGCGCAATTTTGCGTGTGCTTCCTGTTCCAAGAGGAGGGATGGTTGTGCCCAGCTCGTAAATTTGGGGAATATAATTCCCAGAAATTATAGCATTAACTTCTTGAGAATCGCCAGTCAACTGTGCATAAGCTTGATTTACCCTGGGGAGCGCGTTGAAAAGACGTGTAGGCGTGAAACTCGTGGGAAGAGTATCGTCAGCGGGGGCCAGAGTATGTATAACCGCCTTAGTAAAAGCCAGCTGGTTAGCCCCAGGGACCGAACAAGCGCTTGCAGATGTTATGGCACTAAAAGCTGCACGGCTAGCCCACGAAGTCGGGGCAATTTTGTGATGTAGCAACAAAGCCGCCAGCAAAACATGCGTCGACGATTTGGAAAGTATCGACGCCCGTTGGGGCAATAATATTGGCATCTATGCTGCTCCAGCTGACAGCGGTTTGAATATGGGTATATTAGCACATATTCCTAAATGACAAAGCTAATGTAGACTGATAGTGATTTGGAGTTGCTAGATGATTGACTTACTCAGTCCCTCGACTTATTGTCCATAAGCCGCCTTCGTCACCATGGCCGCCGTATATAATAATCACAAGGGCCCCGGGACCGCTTAATCCAGAATATAGCGATGTAATTTGCGATTCCAGAAATGACTGCGCATCTAAACTTGAAGATTGGGGAATCGCCAAGTCGCTGACCTCAAAACCGTATTGCTGGATAATGAACTGCATTACCGCCAGCTCTGCCGCCACTTGTGGTACTTCAGCTGAGGTGCTAAGGTATTCGAAATGAACGGTAGCAACTCTAACAGTATCATAATCAGGAAGTGCATCGACGGAAGCATCTGGCAATGGCTTCCCTGTATCGAGCGGTTCTATCGCCTCTCTGACGACAAATTATATTGCACCACACAATGCATGATGAACATGATTGAACAGAAGAAGAAAAGGAACAAACTTAAGACTATGCATGGTGAGCTGTATGACAAAGGAGGTCTCAAATAAAGAAGAGAATTGTTGACCAGAACTTTGACAGATACATCGTCTGGCTGTACGTTACATAGTCTGAGAGTCTCTTCATGACACCCTCTCTGTTTCAAGGCGAATTAGCTTCGGATTAACGCAAAGCCTAGTAGGACGGAATTCGCTAATCAAATTTGACACTCTGGTTACGCGAAGATGTCAGGACCCCAGCAACTGCTGAGGAATCTGGGTTGACAAATGCTGCATTATACAAGCAGCGTCGCATGCCAGTGCCCAGTTATCTCAATCTGCCTCTATTCCGACATCTCCATAGTGAAACGAGTGCAGCGAACGATGCTGTTGAAGATGATCCTATCCTCCTGGTACCAATTCAACTCGCTGCAGCAACAGCAATTGATGAAGCCTTCGTAATTGTCTCAAATGAAATTCGACTCAAGCTTTCAAAGCTCTTATCAATGGCTGCTGATGATATTGATCCGGGCAAATCAATCAGCTCCAATGGAGTTGACTCTTTGGTCGCTACAGAATTCAGAACATGGCTCGCGAAGACGTTGAAGGCTGATTTGCCTATGATCGATATCATGGGAACCAGCGGCATTCTTACCTTTAGTGAAAAGGTTGTTGGCCTCAGCAAGTTAGTTCAGATTGCATCTAGTAGCTAGTTTGTTTAGTTTTCGATTGTTAAAGCTAGGACAGGTGTCAATTATTAGAATGTCTTGAGAATTCCGTGCAGAAGAAACGATCTTTGAGAATGGTCATTGAAGGATATGAAGCCAGAATGCCCAAAATGAGGGACATATTTTATGTTATTCTTCAAAACCACTTCAACGGTTAGAAGCATAACCTGATTTATAATGGACTCTCATTCGAGATAAATTCAACCAAGAGTATAATGGCGATGAATAGGTGAGTAATTACTACCTATATGTAAGAGAAATAACCATGGGACTACTTTGTTTTAAACTCTATGAGAGCGTAACAGGATTCAAGAGCATGAGGCCCGAGTCTAAAATATAATGTCCTGAGATACGAAACTCGCCGCTATTACTATCCAGGATTATCTTAGATGATTATTAAAACGAAGGAAATATGAAATGTTTTAGTAAGACTGAAGAACTGCATTGCTATATGTAGATCCATGTATCCAAATGATAGATGGTCTCTGAAAATATTCCACAAGCCTTATTTCTAGCTGTTGATTGACATGTTAGCTTTCGATATGGCCGTGATATGCGCTATACAGGATTCAGGCTCTAGTTGACCATGTAGCGAGACAGTATTTTTCTCAAGCTGGTGAAGTATTTCTTTATTGTTTTTTTTCGCTCAGATATCTGAAACAGAATGAAAATAGTGAGAAAAAAAATAAATTCTCATAAGAGCTTCATGATATTTAGAGACAGTTTATTCTTCTTCCGGCCAAACATTGTATCCAAAGGTGTCCTTCATATTCACAAACCTAGCATGTCTCCCCTTTGCAACCTGCTCGATGGCTGCGAAATCCTCGTCGCTTAGTTCTGGAATTACAAAATTGCTTTCGATACGGCTGGGAGTCGAGCTTTTTGGGAGCACAGCATAGCCTCTCTTCAGACCCCAGGCCAGCAGTATCTGAGCAAGGCTATAGCCGCTTCTCTCGGCAACTACGTTGAGAGTCGGATCATCGCGTACTCGCTCACCAGTACTTGGAACCTGGTTTTGAGAGCCAAGCGGCGAGTAGGCTTCTGGCAAGATATCGTTCTGGAAGCAGAATGCCACGAGATCCTCATTTGGTAGAAATGGGTGAATCTCAATCTGGTTTACTGCTGGTTTGATGGTGGCAATCTGAAGAAGCTGCTTCAATCCTTGGATAGTCCAGTTGGAGACGCCAATTGCTTTGACAAGACCGCTCCTAGCTAGCTCCTCCATTGCTCGCCATGTTGGTTCAGGGTTCTCTGTCAGGGCCTTGTTGATGACGTATTTCCCATCTGGTCCTATTTTTACGCTCATGTCGTCGTTCCGTTCAGCCGCAATGGGCCAATGAACAAGGAACAAGTCGATGTAGTCAACCTTGAGGTTCTCGCACGAATTCTTGGCACTCCACTTAACATCCTCCGGCTCGTGTAAGTGGTTCCAAACTTTGGTACAGATAAAGAGATCTTTGCGGGTAACGTCGGGTCGGCGAGCGAGGAAATCTCGGATTGCGTCGCCAACCTCATCCTCGTTGTGGTAGAACCAGGCACAGTCGAGGTGTCGATATCCAACGTCCAACGCCTTTGTGACGGCTGCGTATGTCTCTCCCTTGGCGCCTTCGTTGGCGAATGTGCCGAAGCCGACAGCCGGCATCTTGGCTCCGGTATTCAGAGTAAAGGTTTTGGATGCCATGGTTCTGGTTGTTGTGTCACTTGTCCCCGTCGTGATTGTAGAGGATTTCGACCTGTCGACTTGGGAGATATGATGATGGATCCGCAGATAACGAATGTTGAAACAAATGAGACTTTTGCGCTTGGGCTCTGATACTGGGATTGAATGGCGTTAGAAGGGCCACATATGCCTCATGCAAAGGGTTTTAATGCCTCTCGTTCAAATCCCCTGTGAGTTCACCGTTTCTTATAAAATTGTACCAGTGAGTATGTTGATCAAACCTCTGACAGCTGAGACATTACTACATCACTGGCCAACTTGCCAACTTACCCACCCAAGCACCTTGGTGGCACGCAACGGAGCGGCAGATTGACCCGTAATAGTGGAATTGGTACTGCAGCTAGAAGGATTTTCAGCCAGTTCGACGCTGAAAAAATGACGCACGGGGCGTGTAAAACCTGGCTTTTCTCCGAAGTTTAATAAAGATCTGCGATATCTTGACCGACGTTTCGCCCCCCTAGGCGGTATATTGATGGCCATGACAATAGACTTCAGCTTGGCTGCCTTGACATGCTGCCATGATTGTCTGGCGAATCTCATCCACTGAAACCGCCACAACTGACCCGCCGTCTCCATCTTTCTCGAAACTTGATGCGCCTCTTGCTTAGGTTATCGTCACATACGGCGCCGGCCAATCCGACTGGCCCATCTAACGGCCCCAATTTTCGAAATCTCTTACACCGAAAAGAGATGCCTTGTGGGAATCGTGTCCACCGCGATAATGGACGGTGGTTAGAAAGGTGTAACTAATGCCGATGCTGAGCCGAGAATGACGATATTCTACTGGGACAACAAGCTGTGTCGAGTTACCATTGGATTGAGTTGGTGGATTTGGTGCCTGAGAGTGGCTCCCGCCAGAACGCAGCCACCGTGATGATTAAGGCGAGAGAGTGGACTTGAGGCACTCGGTGTTTTCGTATGAGAGCGATGACATCAGGGCTGAATCATGAGCGAAACCTTCTTGCCCATGTCACCGTATCTACTGTACGAATCTGAAGAAATGGCTCTTGTTGTCTCCACTCCCTCTGTGGATGTTATCTTCCTTTATCAGTTGTGCCACTTCTCCGTCCCAAGTATTAAAACATGAAGCCCGGTGCTGTCAAGAGACCCTGAGAGTCAGTGCTTGATAAACTCACTCTATTATCACGTACCCCTCACCGCAACCATGGCAACCTTCGACGATGTTGATTTCGGCGTGGAAACGCCAACACAGCCTGTCCAGAGCAAAACAAATGATGCTCCGGCCCACATTCATGAGGGAGCTCTTGCTATCCCTATGTCACCTACCTCAACGACTCATGACGCCATTGAGATACCTGCTACAAGATCTCCTCATGCAGATGCCTCCAAGTACATGCATAACCTTTCTCTCTCTCCATCGATGAGAGACAGGAGGGCATCTCGGAACTCCTTTGGCACTTCACTGCCCATTCCACGTTCCAAGAGACAGTCTCGACTCAGCTCTGTCCACCATATCGATCGAGATGCTGTCTTGGGGCCGGGTGCCGTTCCCATCCAGCCAAGTCGAGACATTCTAGCCGCCCAAGTCCAAGACGTATCTGCAGACAAGGCAAAGAAAGCTAAGAACATGGCCTTTGTCTTCGATATTGATGGCGTACTGGTACACGGTGATCGATTGATCCCAGAGGGGAAGAGAGCTCTGGAGATTCTGAACGGAGACAACGAGCTCGGAATAAAGATCCCACACATCTTCCTAACAAATGGATCAGGCAAGCCAGAGCTGGCCCGCACGCAACAGCTGGCCAAGATTCTGCAGAATCCTGTCAACACAGAACAGTTCATTCAGTCACACACTCCAATGCGCGCCCTTGCCGAGTACTACAACACAGTACTGGTTGTTGGAGGAGAGGGATACCGATGCCGAGAAGTAGCAGAGCAGTACGGATTCCGTGATATTGTGGTGCCCAACGACATCGTAGCTTGGGATACCACCATCGCACCTTACCGTGTGTTCACGGAGGAAGAGCGCGCCAGCTCCCGGCCTCGTGATTTCTCCAAGACAAACATCGAGGCAATTCTGGTCTTTTCCGACTCACGCGACTACGCTACAGACATGCAGATCATCATTGATCTTCTGAGATCTGAAGATGGCCGATTGGGCACCGTAGCTGCTGATCCTCTTTCTCAGCGGATTCCCATCTACTTCTCCCAGGGAGACATGCTGTGTCCCACGGAGCATCCGATCCCTCGTATGAGCCAGGGAACCTTCCGTATCGGTCTCGAGGCTATGTACAAAGCGCTCACTGGTGTTGACCTGGAACGTGTAGTGTACGGAAAGCCTGAGATGGCGACGTACAAGTACGCCGATGAGGTTATCGCATCATGGATGGAGCAACTCCACGGAGAGGAGCGCATACCCGAAAACATTTATATGGTCGGTGACAACCCAGCCTCGGACATTATCGGAGGCAACATGTACGGTTGGAATACCTGCTTGGTGCGCACTGGTGTGTTCCAGGGTGGTGAGAATGACGAGGCCAACCCTGCCAACTTTGGCGTCTTCCCCAATGTTTTGGAGGCTGTGAAAACAGCATGCCGGAAGGAACTTGGAGAATCTTTTGGCTTTGAATGGGATGACCGCGTCAATCCCGTACTGCATGGTGAGAAGCATGTTGCTTCGGCGATAGAGTAAGAGGAACTGTATGGCATATGAGCAAAAAAAGGTGTATAGCAGAGAATGCATTGATGATGGATACGATTTTAGCATATTGATAGAGAAATTGGATAGACATTACAGCGAGCCTCAGTAGCCGCGAAATATACCACCCAAGAAGCTATATTGCGGGATCAAACGTGAAAGCTACCTCCTACAGAGCAATCATTCCAGCATGTTAGATTTGCTCCAAAAAGATAGATCATAAAAGAATTGCTCACCTTATGGTTGCGCTGGTAATCGCTCCAGTATGTGAGCTGACCGCCTATTTCCGCTTGAGTAGATAATTCCAATGAGAAAATGCCTCATTTTTCCCAATGATCTTTCAAAAGACTAATAATTACCATCACGTATCATGACGCAGCGTACCTCTGGCCACAGAGACACTCTACTCTCCAACGAAAGGCGATGACCAAGATCGGTACTACATCCCTTGTTTTTAGCCAAATAGATTGAACAAACTAACCGACCAGTAGACGTTATAGTGTGAGAAATTATCTGCTCATTGCAGTTTCCATGGCGTTAAGTCGTTCAACAAGGTTGTCAAAGAACAAGGAACTTAATTCCGGCAGGTGAGCTCATTGAGAGAAGATAATACTTCATCTTGACTAAGCCTAGAGGAATTGATGCTTCTCTACTATGGTTATGCGCAATAACAGATGAGTAAACAAAAAATCACGTTGAGTAATCAGAAATTGTAGGCGATGACACTCAGCCAATTGTAACCGGTCTACAACATTAAAGTCTGAGATATTCCTGGTAACGCTTCAAACGCTCATTCGTATTAAACGTAGGGATGACAAATGACTCGAGGATCTCAGTCAAGGAGCGTTACTCTCGGCTTGATGATTAGAAATGATATCATATTCTCGGTTGAGGAGAGGTATATATATATCCCATTAACGCAGCCGCGGTATATGCCTTCTCTAATACCAGTTTCTTCAACACCACAATTCATTTGAGCAATAAATATTCCTACATTCGGTCGCTAGTTTTATCATGTCGGACCTGGAAGCCCCTATTCTAGTAACTGGAGCAGCTGGCCGGGTTGGCGGCGTCGGAGGGCGTGTGGTGGAATTACTGAGAGCTGCCAATCTCCCAGTTCGCGCACTTGTGCGGCAGGATGACAGCAGAGCCGATAAATTGCGTTCGTTGGGCGCAGAGGTTGTTGTAGCCGATCTCTTAAAATCAGAGGAGGTGCTTCCGATTCTCCAAGGCTGTCGAAAAGTCTTTTTCTGCACCAGCGTCTCTGCCGATTATCTAGAGGCGACAGTGGTGATGGCTGCAGCAGCAAGAGCTACAAGCGGCATCGAAGTTCTAGTCAACATGTCTCAAATGACGGTTGCTGAAATGGATCTGACTCACACAACGGATTCAGCTCAGCATAAGTTGCAATGGCTGAGCGAGCAAACACTCAACTGGTCTGGTCTGCCAGTGACACATCTTCGACCAACTGTGTTCCAGGAAAACTTTCTCTTTTGGCAACTACCTGCCGCCAGCATCAAACAATCCGGGACTATACGATTGCCTTTCGGTAAAGGCCGTATATCTCCAATAGCTAGCAACGACGTTGCAGAGGTTGCGGTGCAAATTCTGCTCAATCCAAGTCAACATATCGGCAAAAGCGTTGAGCTGACTGGACCAAACTCCGACATGTTTGAGCTCGCCAAGGAGTATTCCGATGCAATCGGGAGTCCCGTTGAGTATATACCAGCTCAACTCGACGATTGGACTGAGAAAGTGTTCAACAATGTGACATTACCATCTCATGTCTACAACCATATTCTAACTATGGTTAAGCTCGTTGAGGCTGGGCGTTATGACAGATACACGAAATCGGTCGAATCTATCCTTGGTCGGCCGGCGGCCTCAATCTCATCAACTATAAAACAGGATCCTAGCCGGTTCCAGCCATTTTGAGAACTCAATGAGTCTAGGGAGATACAGCTAGCAGTCTAAAAAATGACAACTCTGATTCTCTCTATTCGCAAGTACTACATTCTAGATGATACTTGTGTAAAGTAAATGAAGAAATTTCTTCCATATGTTTATGTCAATTTAAGTAAAACAAGGCTCCCGCTTCGATGATGCTTTGCAGAGCAGAGATAACAGATGTCCTTTCGGGACAATTATAATGTTGCAGCGGTGTGCCATTTGGAGCAATAGGTGATTACAGACTGGTGGATCTGCTTCTCTATTCTAGATTGCTAAACTGTAGGTAGACGCAAATCATCTGCGTGGTAATAAGAGTGCCAGTCAATGTAATGGCAACACCAATGAGGCTCACTATCCAGTGAACAGATTCTCCCGAATTCCAAGCTAGAGATTTTGTCAGTAATTAATTACCTGGCTGATAATCGTACTAAGAACGCAGTGGCTACTAACCGAACAGAAACGGGTACCAACATCGAACTGTAAAGTCCCGGATATAAAAACAGTCTTTGGGAGGAATGATGTCTAATTTGGTGTGACGCTTCATTAGACGGCTCCACAAGATCAAGGGTTCTCAAGCCCCCCACTTGACACTGATGTCGACTGGATAGGATATCTTCAGATATGCTAT